TGGATAGGTTGAGAGGTGTGTGATGGCTGTTGTGGATAGGTTGAGAGGTGTGTTATGGCTGTGTGGATAGGTTGAGAGGTGTGTTATGGCTGTGTGGATAGGTTTAGGTTGTGTTTATGGATAGGTTTGAGAGGTGGTGTTATGGCTGTGTGGATAGGTGTGGTTATCGGCGTTTGTGTGTTAGGTGGATGGGTTGAGAGGTTGTTATGGCTGTGGGAATAGGTGTGGTTTATCGGGTTTGTGTGTTAGGTGGATGGGTTGAGAGGTGTGTTATGGCTGTGTGGATAGGAAGGTGTGGTAGGATGGTGTGGGTGTGGTTATCGGGAATGTGATGGGTTGTGGATGGGTGTTGGATAGGTGTGGTTATCGGCGTTTTGTGTGTTAGGTGGTTGATAAATATGGCTGTGTGATAGGATGTTTTAGGGTGAATGGATGGTTGGTAGTTGGCTGGATGGGCAGATAGACATATAGATAAATAGAGATAATAGAAGGGTAGATAGATAAAGAGATGTTGAGGTAATAGACTGAGAGAGATAGATCGATAGAGATAGATTGAGATAGCAGACAAACACACAGAGATAGATAGAGATGGCAAACTCAATGACAGACAGTGGGAGAGTTTGAGATAACAGACAGACAGACAGACAGACAAAGAAAGACGTTTAACAGACAGACAGACAATGTCGATTTTTCAATATGTCATAAAGATAGATAGTGATTTGTGGATTTAAAAGTAAGAAAAAAAAAACAAAAAAAAAGTTGTGTAACTGGAGAATTTTCCCAAAGTGTTTATACAAGTTTCTTATGACGTCACTTGCCTGTCACTCGTAACATTAGGGGTGTATTTGTTTGGCTTAAAATGATTAATGATTTGATGGAGATTTGTTGGTCTAATGCGTCAATCAGTTACGTATTTGTTAATTATATTTTGTTAATGATTTCTTTTTTTTAATGAGGAAAGTTGATGGTGGATCTGAAGGACGCTGACTAATTATCTATTTGTTTTCTAAGTCTTAATTTTTAACCCTCCCCCCCTGTGACCTCAGACCCCTAATACCCCCCCCCCCTCTCCCCCCTCCTCTCCCCCCCTCCACGCCGTGCAATTGTTTCCTTCTTGCTTTAGTTTGCATAAAACCTTTTTTTTTCGTTTTTTGGTGTTTTTTTTTTTTGTTTTTTTGTTTTTGTCTTTACTTTAAACGGAGAATATGATTCGGGTCACTTCCCCTTGTTCTGTTATTGTTGTTTTATTTATGGCGTTTTGCAATGAAAGAAACAATCGTCTTTGTGAATTTCAATTAAAAAACGAAAATAATTGGAAATGTTTACACTCGAGCACGCATGCTTTCGCTCACGGGTACACTGGGTTATCGTTACAAAGGGGAAAAATATCGAGCAGTTGTCCAAAGTGCGCATGTAATTTGCATATATTTGTATATATATTTATCTATGTACCTGTCTCTCTCTCTTTCTCTTTCTCTTTCTCTTTCTCTTTCTCTTTCTCTTTCTCTTTCTCTCTCTCTCTCTCTCTCTCTCATCTCTCTCTCTCTCTCTCTCTCGTCTCTCTCTCTCTCTCCTCTCTCTCTCTCTCTCTCTCTCTCTCTCTCTCTATCTGTGTGTGTGTGTGTGTATTTCTGTCTCTGCGTGTGTTTGGCGCTTGTACACATGGGCAAGTTCGTACATACATTGTGTTAATTCATGAATACCTACATACCCAAGTCTCCGCCCCATCCGCCCTCCTCCGCCAGGACAAATTCCCTTTCTTCAAGAATCCCCTCGACCTTATTTTCCCGTTCCGAGTGAGCGACATCCTCCTCCCCCTCCTCTCCTCCTTTCCTCCTCCGCCTCCTACTACCGGCTCCTACTCCTGCTACTCCCCCCTTCCTTCTCCATTTTGTCTTTTTATTCTCCTCCTCCTCCTTCTCTTCCTCTTCCTTCCTCTTTCTTCTCCTTCCTCCTTCCTTCCCCTTCCCTCCTCTTCCTCTTCCTTTTTCTCCCCATTTTGTTCCTTGTTCTTCTAGTTCTTCTTCGCCTCCTTCCTCCTTTCTCTAGCACAACCTCCCCCTTATTTTCCTCTTTTCCAACAATCCCCTCCTCCTCCTCCCCTCCTCGTCGCTTCCTCCTCCTCCTTCTCCTCCTCCTGTCACATCAGTCTACTGCCATACCTGCACTCTGCAGGCAGCAGCCACAGACTCACTCATTCCTCCAGCCGGCGGCGCCATCGCTGCGTTTTCGGGGGAGAAGGGGATTTTTCTCCTTCCCTTTTTGCTGGAGGGGGAAAAACAAAGGAAAAGGGAATTTCATGGTGTGGGCGGGGGGGCTTATGGTGGGCGGGCGGTAATTGGTTGGGGCTGGGTTAATGGGAGTCGGTTTGGGGGCCTTGTTGAAAATTGTTTATTGTGGAGTTTTTCTTTCTTTTTTTTTCTTTTCCATTTCTTTTTTTTTTTATCCCAATTTTTTTTTAATGTTGGTCTTATTTTTTCCAGGTTTTTTTTTTTTTTGG